AACAGGGGAGAGGAGGCGAGGGGAGGAGGGAATACTCTGCCGCTTTGTGCGTGGCTGTAAGGCTTGTAAATTAATTATTTTCTCCCGCCATGGATAGAAAGACTGACGTTAAAAACACAAAAATGCACGATAATAATGCCGTCGTAAATCTGCACGGTGGAAAGTACAATAATACTGCTAAGGGTGGTAAACAGTACAAATAAAGTGAGGGAGAGGGAGAGGTGTAGGTAGGGGGAGCGTGAGAGAGGGAAGCAGGGAGGGATGACTGAGGGGTGGGTCGACTCGATTTGGTCTGCGAGTGACAGCCCCTACTAACACATTATCAGTAGCAATGACGTTATTGGAGAGAAGCGAAGCTCACCAAAAACACTCGTCGTCGTCACGGAGGAAGTCAGTGTGAGAGGGGAGGGAGGGAAGGAAGGAAAGAAGGAGAGAGATGTCAATCAACCACTAGCCGTCAAGTTTACTCCTCACCAAAATGACTAAATAGAGAGTGAGTTCAATTCCACACGTTCATCTGCCTCCGGGACCCCATCATCATCTCATTAAACCAAGTATTAGCCGCACAGCAGAAATAGTAAATCTAGCAAGCCGAAGGCTACTAACTACTACGACGACGACAACGACGAAGACTAAAGGGAGGGTGAAAAACAACACGCCCGATCTGCTACACTACTATCACTGCAGTAGTGGAAGGCAACAAGTCGTCGAGCCGATTCGTGTGTTGCCTATAAAGTAACCATGATGGCAATACATCCCTACTGAAGTACACCGCACTTACGAGCATTTGGCAGACAATCATTTTACCAAGAGGCTTATTTTCATGGCAGCTAACGTACACACCTCGACGATGGTCTACCTACACGGAGAGTCCTAAACCACCGAGTCGGATTCACACAAACGTGTGTCCACCATACTGTATGCACATCCGTCATCAACAAAATGACACTGGCACACAGAAGGAAGTGACAACAATTGCCTAACGATGACATAAAATTGCACAGGAACCACAATGCCAAGCAAACCGTGAGATGAAGAAGAAGAATGAGAGGAGGAGGAAGGCTTCCTTGAAGTGAGTAAAGGCGTAAAAAGACGTAAAGTCGCAAATAACCTCCCAATCACAAGTGATTTCATCATCCAAAGCGCTCAGTTGATACATCAATGCTTAGGGCATCAACTAGGCAGCGTTATGACTTGGGAGGCAAAAAAAAACTTGTCTGGAGGTAAGGCTTATGTTTCGCTGTGAACAGTCAACTGAGCCATGACGCAGATTGCTGTGTCACACTCTACTCCATTAACACCCAGTACACTTCATCCATCCAACCAACCAAGTAACCATAGGTGACAGTATCACCCGCATAAATTACACTAAACACTGCAACAGCTGGTCCCAATCGTAGCTGTTAAAAATACTACGCAAATACACACTACAACTGCTTGCACAGTACTTTTACCAATTAGCCAGGACAAGAATAGCAACGCAAGTAATAAGCGAACACACGAAAGTCAGTTGCTCTTTTTAACGAAAAAGGAAAACAAGAGACACTGTGTATTACGAAACCCAGTAACTTCAGTTAATTACATGAGTACGTGCCAATGGGCAAGGAATCAAACCCGCCAGTATTTAATACATGCCGGTGCTGAGTGAAAACACTTTAGCAAGGAACAGTGACAGTGGGAGAACTACATTAAAAACATATAATGCAGTGTAATGCAAATACATACATATACATGCATAATTATATACAGTTAGAATTTAGT